AATTTAATTGTGTGGGGCAGGTACAACGATTATGCCTACTTTACAGAAGAGAAAACTGACGCACATAGTAATCAAGTCACTGGCCTCAGGTTACAAAGCTAGTGGTCGGACAGTCCAGGTAGTTTGGTTGCAGCATCCACGTTCTTATCAACTGTGCTCCACTGCCTCTAGACGTGGTAAGTCAAAGTCCCGTGCAAATGTGATTGAAGTTAAGACTGCTCCACCTGGGAAAGGAGCCAGCTTCAACTTCGAACCGACACTTCTTAAAGATGTAATACAGTGAGGTGGACAAAATGGGGACCTGAGAACTGAGAGTGGCAGGAAGGAAATGGAATATTTGTTAAATGCCTTTGGATTTCAGGCATTGTTCTACGGTATTTCATGGATATTATCTCATCAGTCCCAACATCAAGCCTGCACTATAGAGAGTTTGCAGGCAAGGAAACTGAGGCTCAGAGGGCTTAAGCATACTCAGAACAGGTCTCTCTACTTTCTTTTGAGAGTTTGAAGTAAGAGTACTGATCAAACTCAGTGCCTGCCTGATGGTGTTACTATCAGTGTTCAGATCCTGGGATGTGGGGGGCGGGTCCCAGCGTTCCCTGTATATGGGACAGGGAAAGTAAGAGTCGGGTTCCATTTGGGCTTCCGGATCATTTGTTCCTGTCTATATCCATCTTGCAGGAGCTTTCACAGGGCCTGCTAGTCAGGGAGGAGGACCTTGGTTGACATCTTGGACTACCCAGATCAGACTGGGGAAGGGGAGGTGCTGGATCTAGGATGCAGCATCACTGCTGATGAGCACAGCTGGAGGTGTGTGCCAATCTGTAAAGAGGCTTATGACATCTTGCTCTGGGGAGTTAGGATTTCCAGGTGCACCATATTTCCTCTAAGATGCTATTTTGCTACCAGAGACCACCTTTAGAGACATAGCTGTGGCTGTCCTTTCAGCCTCTCCTGTCTGCTGCACAACCTAGAGGTGGGTCTGTGTAGCTCCCTCACATACTAACTCCTGGATGGGGCTTACAGAAGTGCTCTGTATTACTGTCTTGGATGCTCACGTCCCTTCCACCTAGCGGCCCTTGTGCAGACATTTCATCTTCTCTGGCCTCTTCTGTGGACCTGTTGTCCCTGCATCAACTCACTTGAGTAGGTCCCTTTGGGGGATAAATTCACAACAAATATTTCCCAAGAATCTGACCACACATGCAAAAAAAGACCGTATCTCTCTACAAGGGGTTATTAATCTAGTTGAGGAGGTAAGATATCGCACAATAAAATGTAACTGAGACTATGTTAAATGCCATGAGAGACACTAAAGCACTTTCAGCCTGGTATTTAGGAAGCAGTGGGCATGCTGGACATCTTCCATTCATCTCATCAGATCTACTCTCCATTATTCTGCACCCTGGGAGGCCGAGCTGCGTGGACGGCACCCATGGGCTCCAGTGCTGCTGGCTTCCAGTTGGGCCTGGGCAATTTCCAGCAGTAGATTGGAGAGTGGATGGAGCACGGAGTCGGAATATTTAGTCCCTTGGCTTTCTTCCTGTCTGGCTGCCATGGATTTGCTGTGAAGGCCACGGCTCCTGTCAAGGGGTCTTCTCCATGGAGTTAACCTCACCAAGGCCCAGACATTGCTTTCTCCTCTTGCTCCTTGAAGACCACAGGTGGTAAGGGCTCTTCAGTGTTATTTGCCTAGAGGCACTGCACTACCCCTTGTTGAATTCCCTACATTTTGCTCCCCATTTTGTCCACAGACCCTTTATTAAACACTCATCAAATAATCCAGTTTTAGCATGCTGCATGCTTTCTGCCAGGTCCTGGACCAATAAAGGAGGAATTATACAGGCAAAGGGGGTGCCACAGCATGGGGTCCAGAATGGCTGAACATAAAGTTAGTTGAATGTGGGAGAACTGAATGAAAAGGAGATTGCAGCCAGATCCTGAAGGGACACAAATATCATGTCAGGGTGTCTGGACTTTATTTCTCCCTCTGTGCAATGGGTAACACTGACACTTTCCGAATGGGGAAGTAGAATGATCACAAGTCCACCACTTTTGGAGAAGTAATTTGGCCACAAGAATGTAAAATGTATACTTGGGGTGAAGGACACCCATAGAGGAAAGAGAAAGAGAAGGCAAAAAAAAAAAAAAATATGCATATACTCTGACTCAGAAAATCCATTTCTAGGTATTAATCACAAAGAAGTAATTAAAAGCATAAATAGAGATTTAATTGCAAGGATATTAACTGAAGTACCATTGCAAAAATTAAAAATTATAAACAACCCAAATTTCCACTCACATAGCCTTTAGAAGTAATGCTGTAGATGTGGATGTATTGGCTTGATAAAATGTTGATATTATACTGCTAAATGAAAACAGAACCTTATAAAAATGACTAATAGTTGCAGTATATAGACTGTTGTTTATGTGGAGAAAAGCTTTTTAAAAGGATATACATTGAATTAGTCATAAACATTATTTTTCCTATAATGAGCATGCATAATTTGTATAAACAAAAGAAACATTTCATAATTGTCAAGGGTAGAGCTTTTGAGGGCCTTGAATAGCATGGTAACAGTAGGAATGGGAGGAAGGATTGGATGGCATTGTGCATGTAGAATCAAATCACTCAGCAACTAGATAAAGGATCTGGGTGACTGAATCATAGCACCACTGAGAGAAACGTGGGAGGCTTGGACCCAGCACAATGCCACCTACATCTTGATTGAGGTAAGAAGGGGTGTTATCAATGACTAGGGGAAGGAAAAATGACCTGGAGCCCGGTTTGGCAAGCCAGATGGTAGAAACAATTACTGAATGCATACAAACAAGTCGATTGTGACATCCAGGGTTCTAGGGGCCCTAAGTGAACCATGTCCACAAAAGGTATTAAGGCACTGCAAATGAGAAATGAACACTAAGCCTAGCACTGGATAATAAATTGTAGAATTTGCTAAAATATCAAATAAAAGATGCTTTGTCTTCTTTCTTTCCTACTTCAGAAATTTAGGGGCATGGCTATCCTGGACCTGTTGTCCTCTGGAAGTGCTTCACCTCTGAGCTCTTGGACCTCAAATTCCATCCTCTGATCATGACATTCTACCTCCCCACTTCTGTCGCTCCTCCTGGGGGAGGTTCTTTCAACTCACCTGAACCCAGTATTTTTCAGTTCTTCCCAGTTATTCATATACATATTCATATATATATGAATTAACTCTTTTATAGGTGTAAATATAGTACATATGTATATGTATAATTTATATGTATGTGTTTGAGAAAATCTCAAACCATATTTTTTTGTGTGTTTGTTTTGTTTGTTTTTACACCACTACAATCATTGACACAGAAGACTTCTATGACTAAAAGTGTAGGCGTGGAGCTTCCACGCCTTACCCAGATGTGCTCCCCTCCAGGAACCTCCATATGTTCAGCTATCCAGAAGCTCCCCAAACCCCGTCTTTTTGGATTTTTATGGAGGCTTTATCACATAGGCATGATTGACAACCATGCAGAGATGTGATTGGACAAAAAGCACATGCTCTAAACCCAGCAAGGCCTGTCTAGACTTCTTGGCCTCTCTGTGCAGCCTTCCTTCCTCTAGGATATGGGGCAGGACCCTCTCTGGAATGCAGGTCTTTCGATGCACAATCAGATTAGAGTCCTGCCTTGGGCAGCTGAGAGGAGGACAGGAGAAGGTCAGAGAGAGAGATTCTGTTTCCAGACCTGCTCTCAAAGCCCACCACTTTTTTAGGTGTAGTATTGAACCTCCAACTTCTTCATCTGGTCATAAGCTCAAACAGAGGAAGGCCTTAGAGATCTTTGGTAGGGCACATGTATACTTTCTTAGATTAGTATTCGGGGGACAATTTTTTCATATCAGGTTAGTCTAAAAAGTACAGGAAAATATTTTAGACTGATATAGTTTTGTTTAAATTTCTATCTATTGTTAGGTTTAAATAAGCAACTGCTGCTTTACAGCTATTAGCATTAACCCACATGGAATGACTACTTCCCATGTGTCAGGATCTGTCCTAAGCATTTCATATGTATTTGCATTTCATTCTCGCAAAGTGCCTCTGACTGACTGACTTGGTCTCCATTTTATGCATGAGTACACTGAGAAGCAGAGATGAGGAAGAACTTGCCCACCGTCACACTGTGTAAGTGGGAGAAACTACCTACAACCCATGTATGCCTTCTTACTGCAGTCCTTGAGTTCAAAATCAAACAAATAAAATTTCATCTCACCAACAAACAAACCAGTATTTTTAAAAATATAAACTTTTAATAACACCACACATAAATTCAAACTACTCTCCCTGAGGGTCTAACTGAAGCTTTAAATGAATGTTTCTTAATTTATCACGGAGTGGATGGATTGAGGAGAAAGCACGGGAAAATGAAGAAGGGGGTTTTAGTTAAACCCCAAATAACTTTGTGTTAAACTGAACTATAAAAGGGCCCTGTCTAACACCGTTTTCCCCTAGATCATAAGCGCTACTCCCGATTGTCCTTCACTGTATTTCCTCGGAAAACGACGCTAGCACCAGGCAGGCCTTCCGATCTGGGGCAAGGTCCACAAGCCTTCTGAATGCGCATTCAGTGCGCAAAGCACTGAAACACGCAACGCACAGAGCGTTTCAGATCACAGACGGACACGGAGTAATTTAGTGAATTTAGAGAACATAGTGAAACAAGCGAAATGGGCCTGATGTGCGGAGAATTCGGCAGGGAGCAAGTATGCTCAGAGTCAGGTCTGAGAGCAGGACCTGGGAACGCCGCACCACCGAGGCACTGTCTGGATCCACCCGGCGTTGGGCCGCTAAGCTCACCCGCGGGGCCAGGTTGGGGGACCGGGCCCTGGGGAGGACGCAGGGTGCGCCCGAACACGCTCGGGTCGGGAGCTGCCGCGGCTGGTGGGAGGCCGGCGGTCGCACGCTCCTCCCCGGTCCCTCCTCCCGCAGCGCCGGGGGAGGGGAGGGTCAGGGCGAAAAGGCCAAGCGGGGCGGGCCCAGGGTACAGCCCACCCGCCCGCCGATAGCCGGAGCTGTCCCGCCGCCCGCTGGCCTGAGACCCACAGTGCCGGCGACCGGCAGCATTCGGGTTTGGCGCGCTCGGGTGGCGTCGGCGCGCGGCGGAACGTGCCCAGGGACCCGGGTTCCCGCGAGCAGGTCAGCGCAGCGCCGGAGCGAGGCCGGAGTGGGAGGACGGGCGCGGGGCGCGCTCCGCTCAGGCACTGTCGTGAGCGACAGGCCGAGCCCCAGAAGGGCGACCGGCCGGAGTGGGCCAGCTGCGACTGCACCTGCCCTCCGGGCCGGTCCGGGGCTCACCGTCCCGTCCCCTCCGCCCCCAGAAACCGCTGGGATCGTTGCGCGGGGAGGTGATGGAATTCGAATCCAGTTCTCCCAAACCTTTTCCCGGGGACGCAACTCTAAGAATTCGGAACTCAGAGGCAGAATCAGGCCAAAGGGACCGGGAACACGGCGTTTTCCTATCTATAGGTCTCCTACCGGGACACACGCACACCCTCGCTTTGGGGAGCATTGCTGCTCCTGAAGCCCAGTTCCGGGTAGCTCCTGTGGGGACAGATCACAGCAACACGTTCCCTGCCGGGAGCGTGCCCCCTGCTGGCCATAGAAGATCGTGGCTGTTCAATTTATTCTGAGTCAAGGAGGAGCCCCGATTTTTAAAAAGTCAAGTAAAATCAGAAAACAGAGGACATCGTCTACCTCTTCGTTTCCTGGAGCTCCTAATAGAAATTTTCTATGGCGAAAAACGAAGAGTTCAGGCTTTCATTCTGGCCTGTGGTTCTTGGGATCACTGCAGAGGTGGTGAGGGAGGAAGGAGAGGGGTGTGTGGCTCATAAATGGGAGCTTGCTACCTTTAAAGGCGCACGGAGTCAGGTTTGGGAGGGACCTGTTAACAAATGAGTCTTGCACAAATTGCCTTTGAACCAAGTGAGAATGCTGAGCTGGGAGAACGGTGGGTGAGCAGGAGGTGGAGAATGAGTCCTCTGAGGTGCTGGCGATCCCAAGAGGCTGACACTGAATTCGGGGATCTGGGTATTAAGTATCGGCATGACCAAGAAGGAGGTGGCCTTCTGGCCAAGAGGCACTGCTGAGCTGCCAGCACCCAGGCAGGTCTCTTCCCAGAGGGGGTTCTGGTGGCCCTGCAGAAGGTGGTGAGAGCCCACTGACTTGGCATTTTCCAGAATGCGTGCTGTTTGCACGCTGGCATTGAGGGTGCTTTCCCTAAACTGCTGCTGGCCACGCGATGATGCTCTTCATGGAACTGAGCCCTACACACTCCAGGCCGGCACCGCAGCCTGTCACTGGCAGTTATGCCACTGAGACTGAAGGAGCAGCAGAGTGAGAAGAAATGTTCATCTGGTTCAGCCACACATTTTACAGTTGAGAAATCCTCTGCGAGGTGTGGAGGCCTTGCCCAGCACTGCAGGACTTTTCCCGGAAACAGAACCCTGGGCAGCTGGGTCCTCATTTGCTCGCCATTGTTTCTCTGTGCCCTTTGTGCTTTAGTCCTGAGGAACAGGCACGGCCCCCACCACAGTCCCTCACCCAGTCACATTTGCAGAAGAACACAATTCATCACCCTCTGGAGGCTCTCAGCATAGAACATTAAGAAAAGGGCAAACTGGGTACCTGAGCAACTGGAGTGGGAGCCCTGGGAGTGTCGGATGGAGTTTAGGGGTCCCCTTCATCTATGTTCCTTTCCCTGACACCCAGAAGATGGATATTTCCTGGAAAGGAAGGTGATCGTCATGTTATTTCTGTTGTCATTCATCTTAAGCCTGATTTTTTTTTTTTTCAAGATCTCTGATAATGAACCCGACTGAACCCTCAAAACGTTGAGAAATTTCCATTAAAGTAAAGCATTGAAGAGAAAGTATTGAGTGAAGAGAAATTGAAGGGGAACATTTCGTTCCAAAATCACATCATTCCAGAATTCTGGGGAAGCGTTGCGGCTTGAGGACATGAGCGGTGGGTTCTTACTGCCTTTCTTTATGAAGCCAGTCACTTGTTACTGTGCTCGATTTTATGGGAGTTGACGCATAACACACTAATAGAAACAGGCTAATCATTATAGGTATGTCGTTTTTTAAATAAACTTAGTAGTTGAGGAGAAAGGAAAAGTCTACTATAAAAATAGGTAGTCATTGAATTAAGTGGGCTGGCTGACTCCTAGTAGAAGCTGTGTTCATTCACTCATTCATTCATTCCAGAAAATATTTATTGTGTAGCTCCTGTGTGTGGGGCACTGAGTGTAGAGTGGTGAGTAAGACAGATACAACCTCTGCTCCCATAGAGTTCACATTCTCAAATCCAAGGCTGAGCAAGGTGAATTCATACAGTGAGAAATGTTTTGAAAGAAAGCAGAAATAAACAGAGTGCTATGGGAGAGTGTTGGTGTGTGTGTGTGTGTGTGTGTGTGTGTGTGTGTGTGTGTTGCATGGGTGGGAGGGGCCCAGCTTCTTGGATTCTCTGGGAGATGGCCTTGAGTGAGACCCGGGGAAGATGGACAGACGGTTCCAGCAGAGGGAACCACAGGCACAGAAGTCCTGGTCCCGGAGACAAGTGGCATGTTGGAGGCACAGTTGGAGGACCAGTGTGGCTGGAGTTAGGTGAGCGAGGAGGAGAGTTGGAGGAATGAGGTTGAGGGGCATGGGCTAGTTCAGGCAGAGCCTCGTAGGCTGAGCTAAACAGTTTGGATCTTATTCTAAGTGCAGTAACAAATGAAAAGAGAGTTTGGGGGAGAGGTGTGACATAATAGATTTACATTTTTTGAGAGATTACTCTGAGTGCCATGTAGAGAATGGATATAGGGGAAGAGGAGGGTACATAAGGAAACGAGCTCCAGTTCACTGATGGTCACCTTGTGGAGGGGGAGTAGAGGAATGTTGGCTATTTCTTGGCGGTGGACTGGGAAGTTTACTTAATGTTTCTCTGTCTCACATTTCCCATCTACAAAATGGGGATGGCATTGCTACACCTGGCCCACTTGTAAAACCCAAGAAGCTACTGAACAGGCTCTTAAGGGCAATGTAAGATTTTATTGCTATTATTATTTGCTAATATTGTGTCACATTGAATTCCCTGGGCTTTATTTTGAAATTTGTTCCAATGAATTTTAATGTCTTTTTATTTATTTTATTGTTCCTTTATCTTAATTCCCTTAGAGCATTTCAGAAATGTTCTTTTAACAGGTTTTCTCAATCC